GTGTGAATTCTGACTGAACACTTTCCCCTATTTATTACATTTATAAGGTTTCTTACCAGTATGAATTATTAGATGTCACACGAGGTGTGAATTTCAACTGAAGACCTTGTAGCATTCATAACATTTGTAAGGTTTCTCTCAGCATGAATCCTCCTGTGCTTTCCTAGGGATGACTTGCTACTGAACATTTTGCCACATTCATTACATTCAGAAGGTTTTTCTCCAGTGTGAATTTCCTGATGTCGTGCAAGGTTTGAAATACGATTAAATACCTTTCCACATTGATTACATTTGTGAGGTTTCTCTCCAGTGTGAATTCTCTGATGTTTTAAAAGGTGTGCAATATGCTTAAATACCTTTCCACATTCATTACATTTGTAAGGTTTCTCTCCAGTATGAATCCTGCAGTGATATGCTAGGGATGATTTGCGAGTGAACCTTTTGCCACATTCATTACATATGTAAGGTTTGTCTCCAGTGTGAATTCCCTGATGTCGTGCAAGGTGTGAAATACGATTAAATATCTTTCCACATTCATTACACTTGTAGGGTTTCTCTCCAGTGTGAATTCTCTGATGCTGTGCAAGGGCTGACCGATCACGGAATACCTTTCCACACTCATTACATTTGTAAGGTTTCTCTCCAGTATGAATTCTCCAATGCTGTGCAAGGATTGAACTTGCTCGGAATAGCTTTCCACATTCATTACATTTGTAAGGTTTCTCTTCAGTGTGAATTCTCTGATGCCATGCAAGGGCTGAACTTTCACGAAATACCTTTCCACATTCATTACATTGGTAAGGTTTCTGTCCAGTATGAATCCTCTGATGTTTTGCAAGGTATGCAATACGATTAAATACCTTTCCACATTCATTACATTTGTAAGGTTTCTCTCCAGTATGAATCCTCCGGTGATGTGCTACAGATGATTTACGAGTGAACATTTTGCCACATTCATTACATTTGTAAGGTTTTTCTCCAGTGTGAATTCTCTGATGTTTTGCAAGGTTTGAAATATGATTAAATACCTTTCCACATTCATTACATTTATATGGCTTCTCTCCAGTATGAATCCTCCAGTGTGGTCCTAGGGAAGATTTATGACTAAACATTTTGCCACATTCATTACATTTGTAAGGTTTTTCTTCAGTGTGAATTGTCTGATGTCCTATAGCAGATGCACTTACATGGACTACCTTTACACATTCATTACATTTGTAAGGTTTCTCTCCTGTGTGAACAGGGTCTTCTACAACAGAGGAACTTACAGGGAATACCTTTCCACATTCATTACACTTGTAAGTTTTCTCTACAGCATGGACTCTCTGATGACTTCTAAGGCTTGATTTTTCATTGAACACCTTGGCACATATATCACATTTAAATCGATTCCCTTCCCCATTCATTATTTCCTGAATATTGAAATGTAAGCCTTGATTAACGGCCTTGTCCCAATCAGGACTTTTGTAATGTTCTGTCATGGTGTGTGGTTTCTCTCTTTGTGAGAATAATGAATCCATAAGATCATCCTCATGTTCATGAGAAAAATGGGGCTTCATAGTAGAAGGAATTCTGTGAGGTGGAGAAATCAAGAAATCACTGTTGACAGATGGCTCCATAGGATTACATGCATCAGTTTTCTCTTCAATATTCAATAGCTGCATTTCTGGTATATCAGACTGGGTGTTCATTCCCAGGTGATTACTAACAATCTTGTTTACTAAATCGCTCCTATCATGCCGATCTCTCTTACCAGTCAGATTTCCCTGAGGGGTCATAGGGACTCCACTGAAATGTCTTTCGTCATCTCTCCACTGACACTCAAAGTTATGTATATTCTTCTGGATTTCCCTAAAGCAAAAGTCTTCCATGTCATGGTTTTCATTCCTTTCCAACATCACTGTCAGGGATATTTCTTCAGTTCTACTGCTCTCTGTAGATGGCAATTCATTTATGACACATATAGAAGAGAGACCTATAAGATATAAAGAACCACAGTTCTGATGAATTATACATGATCATTAAACACCACCCATTGAAATATATGACATTATATCAATAGTAGCATTGGCACAG